GACTTAGAGCTGTGTTGCTTATGGAAAGAGCTCTAGATAATTTGTAGCTTCAACTTGCTCATCTGTAAAATGGGGAGAATAACACCTGCTCAGCCTCTTCACACTAGAGAACATCATCAAACCAGGCCATGTTGTTAAGATGATATATAAAGGCAAATGATTCTTTTTAAGGACTCAGGACACTAATGGCTATTCTTCATATATGGTTCAAAAGTCCAAAATCCCTGAAGAGTTAAATGCAATTGTCACTTGCTGACCCTTGTATGTATTTGAGTTCCTAATCACATGCATCTCCTTTAGGCAAGAAAACTGGATTGCCTTTTCTGGTTACCTCTCTCTGCATTCAAGCTTGTTTTGTGTGTGTGTTTGCAAAACTCACTGTGCTCAGCTGTGACTTCGACAGGGAGGTCCCAGTGTTTATTAAAATGGGCTATTCTAGTGCTTATGTCCTAAATCTGATCACCAAAGACAAGACAAAACAAACAAAACCAATGTCCCATTCCATGCAATTTCAGAGAACTCATCTGCCCTGATTCTTGGTCTACTGGCTTAAAAACAAAAAACTTACCATTTTAGGCAAAAATCACACTGACCAGTTTTTCTATGTAAGTTTTAGAATACAACACACTCATAATATATGAGAAAGAATCATTAGAAATATCAAGATTTAATTGTACATGCTGGGTATAATTTATTGTTGAAGTTTTTACTTATCTCTTTCTAGTAAAATTCATAATTGTGCATCTACTTGTACAATTCCTAGAATCGCTTGACCATGCAGGGAAGCTAAGAGGCCAGAGGTAGAAAAGCACATTGCCCTAAATTTCCTTTCTTCCATTTGGTAATTCATTTTTTTTGCCTTTTTTTTCTATATGCCTTTTCTTTTGAAAGGGAGGAGATTAGGAACTGAATGTATGATTTTGAAAGGAGTATTGATCTCTAATAACAATAAACATACAAAATAAAAATAACCATGCTTGATGCAATCTTTCTTCTTCTCTGCTGGTAGCCAAGGAGGCCCTGACCCCTTTCCATATTCTCTTTAGGTAAGTGGGCTTTCTCACTTTTTGTAAGCTGGTGGCAAAAGCCTGATGGGGCCATTTTGAAGCCTGTTTTTCCCATTTGTAAAGCAGGTACCTTTAAGTTGCTCATTTTCTATTTGGCTCTGATATGTGACTTGTTAAGCAACACCTTCAAAGATGGTTCAGTTTATTCAATGCCTGATAAAACATACACACAAAACTTAAGACTTACTCCTAGCATCTATTGTGAAAAGACTTCCTATCTTCTTTAATAAAAAAGTTCATTTTAATTTTTTAAATTATATGTGTGAGTGTGTGGATGAGTCTGTACAGGGATATGTGCATGTGAGTGTAGTTGCTCATGAAGGCCAGAGGCATGAGGAGGCCAGAGGCATTTGATCCCTCCTAGAACTGGAATTACAGGCATTTGTGAGCCACCTGACATGAGTGCTGGGAACTGAGCTCAGGTCCTCTGCAAGAACAGTATACACTCTTAACCACTGAGCTATCTCTTCAGTCCTCCATCTCTTTTATCAACTTTATTTTCACTTAAACTCCTACAACTAACAATCATCTAACAGCAACGAAAAATCTTTGATTAAAATAGTGTTTTGCAAAAAAAACATTCAAGTCATTCTTTTTGCAACCACTTGTCCACTTCATGGGAATGAATGGCTTATTCTGCTATGAATGATTACATTCTGATGACAAGCATTTACTGGGATGATCACTGGAATGCTCAATGGTATCAGAGCAGCAATGCTAATTATTAGCTAGCCAGTTTAACTGGCTAATATCTAATCTAAGCTTTGTCATTAACTCGCCAAGTGGCCTAGAATAAGGTTTCATTTCCCTCTCTGTAATGTGGGAATTGGGCCAGTGATCTAGTAGTTAAAAGGCACCTATAATCTCAGAGGGCAAATGGCAGAGAGCAGATAACCATGGGGGACCATCTAAGACCCTGGGAATGGGGGTGCATTCACTCTTTGGTGCCATTAGAGGAACCATTTAGCACTAGAGCAGTGACTGACTAATGATGCCCCAAATGGTCCCAAAGAGTTAATGTGTTTTCCATATACCTCCATATATCTATCAAATGGTGCTTTTGACCAATCAATTTCATTGACATAGGTGAGCATTATACTCTCAGAGTAGTTGCCTCTTGGTTCATAAAAGAATCAGGGGCCAAACCCAATAGACATGCACATAACACTCTGTATCACACAGTAGCTGGAATGATTTATGAAACATCGGGCGTTATTAACTGCAGTGTTCCCACCAGGATTATAGTCTCTGGCCCTTAGAGCTATGCTGAATGGTGGTGTTGGAGTTATCTTACAGAGTCTTGATTTTAAGGTTTCATTATTGATAGTAACTAAAATATGTGAACATTTATCTACCACCTGTCCTTTCCTTTCATCTAGACAAATTTACTGTGGAATTGGGTGCATTTTAGTGTTTGCTGTAATATGAGGTAAAATGTGTAGAAAGCCGCCAGTTCAAGATCTAGGAGTATTAGATGACCCTGATCAGATGACCCAATTGCCACATGCAGTAGACCATTTTCAGTCCTTATTAAAAATGAAGCAGCATTTGATACTATTGGCCATGTCTACCTTTCTTTTCTCTTTCCTCTTTTCTTCTCTTGTTTCTATGTCACCATCCCCTTTCTTTTTGATGGTCTCTTTGACAATGCCTCTTTGCTTTGTCTTTTCTGAGTGCCTTTTCTACCCCTGGAGTTCCATCTTGGTTGTTTTCTTGGTTTGCATATATTTTCTTCACCAATGCCCAGGTTATTTATGTATTTTTTAAAATCAAAAGTCTCCTGTAGCCCAGGCTGACTTCAATTGAATTACATAGCTAAGGCTGGCCCTTGAACTCCCAATCCTCTGTCTCCACCTTCCTGGGATTACAGGCATATCCCCCCATTCCTGGATTCCATGTTTTATATTCTGACCTCCATTGCCATCCACGCCAGCACCTCAACTTCAATTGTTCTCATCTTTGCTCCTAAAGTTTATTGTTTGTCTAGTGAGTAAATGACACATGATCCTTTCACTAGCTCAGTCAGCAAATGTGGGAGACATATCTTTCTTCCCTCATATCTTATAATCACTCAATAATTCCTGTTTATTTGAAAACATGACTCTTATTTTGTCATTCCCATACTTAATATTTTCAATGGTCCCAAATGACCTTGGGAAGGATCCCAAAATTTTAAATGATTCACCAGATACTCCATGAGCAGTCTCTGCCTCGCTCCATCCTCAGATCTACCCACTCTTCCTCTAGACAGGCCTTGTTTGACTCTCAGATCTAGTTGGCAGTCCACCACCGTCACTGCAATACTCCCATTGTACTGCATCTCTCATCGTCTCTAACTCTCCAACACTCTATTGTTCAATGTCTGTTTTCCCAAGTCATGAGACTGCCTAATATGTACTGAGTACTTCTATATGCTAGGCAGTTTACACCCACTATCTCATTTTAATCATCACAACAACTATTAGTTTCTATTTTCACCCCAGTCTTACCGATAATGAAACTGAGCAAAACCACCAAGAAATTGAAAGACACACAGCTAATTTGGAATAAATTAAAGCTGGAACCCCAGCAGTCTGTATCTAGAGCTTATGCTTTAACTGTATTTAATATTGCTTCAGTGAAACAGTAAGAGCCAGTACATTCAGGGGCCAATTGTGTGTTTCTAGAGCCTAACACATAACTGGCATACATCATCTAACTAAGGATTTGCACAGGAAACTGCTGAAATACCATGTCCTGATACCCACAACAACATGTAGGTTACTCCATAATCTTACCTTGACCCACCTCTCCAGTCTCATCTCCTAGATGTCTGTCCCTTCTTTACCAGGCCCAACCTTCCAGCAATATACTGAGTTCTCTAAGGTCAGAGTGGTTCACATCTCTGCCTTCTGTATGCTGGTCAAGTCATTTATCCATTCATTCTGTCATTCATTACTCACTCATTTTCTGACCACCTACTGAAGGCCAGGCAGAGAAAAGTCCATGATAGATATATGCTAAAGGAACAAGGAAGAAAAGGGGCTCCAGAAATTCTCCCAAGGAAATCTCTGTCAGCTATACAGCTGACGGGGATTAATATCTAAAATACATAAAGAACTAAAAACTCAAATTTCAAAAAAACTCCAAATAATCCAATCAATAAATGGACAAATGAAATTAATAGACAGTTCTCAAAAGACAAAGTACAAGTGCCAATAAATAAATATAAAAATATCATCATCCTTAAATATCAAGGAAATGCAAATCAAAACTAACTGAGATTCCATCTAACCTCAACAGAATGACTATTGTTAAGGAAAAAAAATAAGAATTCATGCCATCAAACACATTCTCTTGCAGGCTCTGGAAAATGCTGCCTATACAATGTTAGTATATTTCCTGAAAGACAAAAAAACAGAAGCAAAAAATCCTACTAGTTCTGTCATCAGTAGAAAAGGACTATTTTCATTATAGAAACAGCCCCCAGTGCTAGACTACTGGCATACTTCATACGTATGATATACATATATATATTTCATACATACATATGCTATATATATACATGTCATCTATACATTTTGAACATCAAAGCTCACTTCTGTTTCACTTCATATTTCAGGGGGAGGGCTGCCATTTGAAGGGACTCTTTGAAAACTAATGAGATGCAAACCACCAGCATCCCCTTCCCCACAGCTCTGACACTTTGGTGAGGGACAGGAGTTGGTGAAGGTGATGCCTGGCCTTCTCAGTATTGTTTCTGTTGAAATTCATAACTCTAAGCTGCCTCTTCTTGGGGGGGGGCAGACTTCTCACCTGCTAAATGAGATTGGACTGGCTCAGTAACATTTTTTTTGTTGTTAACAGAGAGAACGTAAATGTTTTTGGCTTTAGACCACATGGTCTTGACATGGGTGACAGCAGTCAAACAATATGTAAACAAACAGGCACGACTATTTTCCAGTAAAATTTTATTTATGAAAATAAGCAATGAGTCAGGTTTGGCCAAAGGTCATGGTTAAGACACCAGATGCAGGAGAATTCTCGGATTCCCATTAGTTTTTCTCCGCCATGCTGTTTAGTCTCTGTGATTGTGTGTGAGCTCACAATCTGGGGGACCACTGGAAAAAAGAGAAGCACACTTTATAGACTCATCAGTGGATGAGATTACTATATTTGACTTATCTTCTGACTTGGAATCTTTTAACTTTTTAGCATAATGCCCCTATTATATTTAGCAATTAGAGTGCCGTCACAAAGTAAAATGTAAAAACCATTATTCCCCGAAAAGAAAAAAAGACTTGTGGTATGAAATGATGCCTGCAAGGAGTGTGGGTGATAATTTACTCATGTAATCATTTCTATTTCAGTTCTATGGTAAGTATTTCTGGAGATGGCTCACACTGCAAGGAGATCTTTAAGATGTGCATGCCATAATTAACCTTTTTACATACTCCAGTAGAAATAATCAATAGTTTTTTCCTTCTTTAGCAGTTTTAACTTTACTTATCATCTGTGGAAATGATTTCAATTGAATAAAATAATTACAAGGAAAAAGCCCTTTTATCTTGAGTTTTAAACAAAATTCATATATTCCTCCAGTTACTATTACTTTATGGCTAAGTTCTAGACATGGAACATCTGTATGTTTCTTTCCTACACAGAGGATTAAATAGCCAGTTCATGCTTCTGCACTGTGTAGGTCAGTGATTCAGAGTGGGGTCTCTGGATGAGTGAGTGCATCATCATCAGCATCAGTATCATGTGGTAACTTTCTAGCTATGTATTCACTGAATAAGTAAATGGAGAGTAGGATTCGTTCTCTTAATAAGCCATCCAAGTGATTCCAATGCTCAGTAAAGTTTGAGAACCACTTGAATCAATTATTGTAACTTCCTAAAAACCCAAGGGAAGACATGTACCATGCAAAGACCAGAATGATCCTACAGTTGACTCCTTAAGAAGATGCAGAGAAAAGGTTACTAGTACAAGAAAAGGGCTGAGCGAGAAAACCCATAGATAAGAGACAGTGCAGGAGGAACTAGAAAACCCTAGAGGATCGTTTTGTGGATGCAGCTGAGCTCACAGCCATGTTTCTAGTCAAGACAAGCATCTAACAACTCCCTGGACAGATGGGTGAGAACTGTTAGATGACAAGAATACAGAAATGAGGACAGTACCCTTCCCAGATGCAAAATGCTCATGGTCTAGGAGTGAAAATAGATGTCCCACACTTCTGTCCCCATCAGTTTACCTAGATAGCTGGACACTTTACACGAGTCATCTGTTCTCAGAAATGGCTCCCTTGAGAATTTACAATACAGTCAAAAGAGAAAAGTTAGGTGTCAGGAAACAGGATAAAAAGAACAAAGGAAGAAAAAAATAAGAGGCTAAGGAATAGGTACTAAAAATATTTGTACTAGAACATTTAGGAATCTGTTCTTTCAATCCTCTAATCACTCATTGCCAAGCTCTGCTTTGGTTTAGACACAGTCCTTTATTCCTTCACTATTCCAATGAACTGCAATTACTTAGAGCCAAGAATTACAACCAAAAGCCTTTCCTTTCCTCACGATGCTTATAACTGTCAAAGAGCAAAAGTTACAGAAATATAAACCATTAGGCTGTTATTAGGGCAGTGTTATAGACTGAATGCTTGTGACCCCACTCATTCATATGTTGAAATACTAACCCTCCCCCATGGTGGTATTTGGAGTGGGACCTTTGGGAGGTAATTAGGAAATGAAGATGGAGCATTTGTGAATGGAATTAGTGTTACTATGAGACTCAAAGTTCCCTTGTCCCTTCTGCCATGAGGACCCAAAGAAAAAGTCATCTGTGAACAAGAAAAACAGGCTCTGACCAGACACTGATTCTGCTTGTGTCTTGATCATGGACTTCCTTGCTTTCAGAACTATGAAAGAAAAATGCCTATTGTTTTTAAGACACATTGTCTGGAACCAGTTATAATATCTTGAATGAACCAAGAAAGCCATGAACGACATACTCCTAATACCAATACAACTTGATCATTTTGCTAGTTATGCATGTAGTATTAATTTTGGAGTCTCATCAGAAAATCACATCTGGGTCCATGAGGAACCTAAAGAGGACACCAACCTATTAAAATCTGACACCAAATCAATCAGCATAGTGATTTGGAGTTTAGATAATTTTAGAGTCACTTTGTTAAAGAGTCTCAAATTTTTAAAGGAAGACTTCATCAGTTTAGTAAAATTCTGTGTATGTTCATTTAAAATTTTATTCAAACAATACAGAATAATACAAAGAAGAAATGATTTCTCAAAGGAAAACTTACTAACATTTGGTGAACATTTATTACGTAAATGCAAATAGATGTATAATTAAAAATGGCCTCAGAAAGAGGGATCATATGGTGCATGCTGTTTTGTAAAACACACTTTTTATTTTGGAGTAAGTTTGGGTTTAGAGGAAATGTTGCAAACATGTAAGTATTTTCATGTATGCTCCACTTGGTTTTCTCTAGTCTTAACATATAATTCTAAATAATAAAATAAAAAATAAAATTATGCACCTGGAGATATTTATTAATAGATGCCTATGCAATTTATTTAAAGAGATTTATTACAAGGAATTGGCTCACAGGGTTAAGAAGACTTAAAAGTCCTCTTGGCCTCAATCAACAAGCTGGGAAGCTAATGTGTCATTTTGGTGAAAACATCACAGTTCAAGGCAAGCAGGCAGATGGAATCTGCTGTACTTAACCTTTTTGCTTTACTCATGCCTTCAGTTGATGGGTTGAGGCCAAGGCAATCTGTTATATTCAGTCTACTCATTTAAATGTTAACCCCATGAAGAAATGCCCTCAAAGCACCCAGGATATGTTCAGTTAAATGTCTGGGCACCCTGTGGCCTAGTCAAGTTATCACATAAATTACATAAAAGTTCATCATTTCATTTTATCACATAAAATTCATCATCATAGATATACATGCTATTTTTAATGTTAGTTTAATGTAACATCCAACTTCCCAGGTCATATTGTAAACAACACCCTTCATTTGAAATGCTCACAGCAAGAAGACAGTTTTCCAGATGTCCCACACTTCTGTCCCCATCAGTTCAGCTAGATATCTGGACACTTTCCACAAGTCAGCTGTGCTTGATTTTTTTTTTTAATTGTACAACCTAGCTACACATTACAAAAACTGATAAAATACAAATGCAAGAAGAAATTTTTGTTTCTATATAAAACATGGAGAATGTGCCAGAAATACTGGGAAAATGTAAAGTAACTAAAAATGTGCTTTCAAATAGATATGAACTTGAAAATGGTGACGTCTAGGAGGATTCAGAATTCACATTCCCTCCCAAGTGCCTTTCAGTTCTTCTTTCATTTTAAAGGAAATGGAAACTGGAAATCCTAGAGAGTACACTGTTGTTGTAGTTCATGCAAAAATGATGGCCAGGGGAACTTCCAATCAGGTGACCATTTTAGAAGAAACAATATTAGCCTCAAATCAAAATGGGGGAAAATGGCAAAGGATGATGCATATAGCTTATACTGAAATAAAATTCAGTTAGGAAAGATGAAAAAGTACTCAAGCTAGAAAAGGTGCCTATGGTACAATGGGGTGAGCATACCACAGAAGTATATTGTCATCACAGTTAAAGATACACAAATGACTATGTATGTCTTTTCAGCTTTCTCATTTCAACAAATACTGATGTGATAGAAATGACTGCATCACATAAAATTTATTTTGTACTAAATTTACTTTTTTAAACAAATATTTTATTTTATGTGTATGACTGTATTGCCTGCATGTGTGTAAGTGCACCTGTGTTGTGCAATGCCTGCACAGGTCAGAAGGATTTCCCTGGAACTGGAATTACAGACGATTGTTAGCAGCCATGTGGATGCTGGGAATCGAACCTGAGTCCTCTGCAACAGCAGTCAGTGCTGAGCCATCTCCGTAGCCCCTAAATTTACTTTTATTTTGGTTTCACACAAGAGCAGATTCCTAACATGAAACCAGATGAATTTCAGGTAAATGACCCTCTTTCACCATTTTTAAACAAAAGGATTTGAATTCTTCCACATTTTTCTAAAATTAAGAGGAAAAATATGTGGTTAGAGCAGAAGCTCTTAATGCAAAGCTGTGCTACTTCCCAAAAGTGCACTTAGAAATGGGCATGTGTATGTTTGTCATGATTACAGGGATCCTTCAATTATGCAGAGATGCCAACCCTCCTACAAAGAATGGGACAGATCCAACATCAAAAACACATGTGCCCCAAATGTCAGCAGTTCCCAGTGGTAAACACTGGGGTAAGACAGAATACATTTTTGAAAAAAACAAATCCAACCTGAAACATAAAAGTTTATTAGAATAAAAATACACATATGTTAGTCAGCATTAATATTGCTTGACATAGGTGCTAGAGAGATGACTCAGTGGGTAGGAGCACATACTGATTTTGCAGAGCCTGAGTTCAGCTCCCCATACATCAGGTGGCTCACAACGTCTGTAACTCTACAGGATCTGAACCCTCTTCTGGCCTCAGCATTGCATTCATGCACACACACACACACACACACACACACACACACACACACACACACACTTCAAAATAAAAATCAAAACCTTTATAAAAATTACTTATCAAATGTAGTTTTTTTTTTTAAACAGAAATCCCTTTTTCCTTTGTCTTTCTTTTACTATGTGTTGATGATGTTGTGGCAGAAGATCTGGTGGGCTGGTCAAAGACCACCTTTTGGTCAGAGAAAGAAGTTTGTCTATTAAATTGCAACTAAAGAAGAGGGCATTGAGGTAACAGATTGAGTGTGGTGGTGAGCTGAGTGGGGGCTCCACTTGGGGAAGTCCTCTTCCATTTGAGCGAGATACTTGGTGTGCAGTTTCTGAGCATGCAATTTCTGCCATGCAAATGAGGGCAGATGTGTGGTGTAGCTAATTTTACTTGGCTGTACCACTCCTTTATTTCACTGTTCTACTGTTAGGGTGGAACTGAGTCATGTTTCTTTCTGTTTCAGGGATGCTTCTGGACCAGCCTTGCTTTGAGAACCCATTACCTTTCCTGGTCTCTCAGGTATGGTTTCCCTCTACAAAAGTGAACA